GTCCAGTACTAACGTGTGAAGTTGGAGCCTTGATGCAGGTACCTCGAAGATGGAGCTGGAGCTATGGCGCCACAGGTAAGTCTCCCTGGCCTCCGCCAGCCATCTCTCCCAACTCTACTATCTACCACCTATTAGCGCCCAGCGCTGAAGACTACTGCCAGCGCTAAGGTACTCCCCGCAGCGCTCGTCCTGAGTACTGCGCTGAATCCTGAAGACTACTCGTCCCTACTGTCCAACTACCTACCTGTGAAGTGCATGGGAGCTTCCTATGTACTACCGGGTGCCTCCTGACTGCATGCGAGGCAGTGCAGGAGGCTGCTCTTGCCAATGCCGAAGGGAGGCAGGGGCTGCAGCTGCAGCTCCTTCTCAAACTGTCGTGGGGAACAGGCTAAAGATAGCCTGTTCCGAAAACCCTGTTTTTGTGCCTGAGTCCTAGGGTCGGTCGAAACGATGAGGGCCTGAAAATGGCCCTCCGTTTCAGGCTGAAAAGCCTCTGGCGTGAAAGGCCCAGAAATAGGCTGAAAACGGAATAGGGCCTACAGGCCCTCGTTTTCAGTTTCAGGCTGAAACAACCGGGGCCTGTAAGCCCTATTTTCTAGGCTTTTAGGCTGAAAGTGCAGGACTGGCCCTGAAGGGCCCGTGTGGCTACGCAGTATGCCACACCCCCCCCTCCTTGAAAGACCGAGCTTACCTGCGAGGGCGAAGCTGTCTGTCTGAGGGAGGGACCACAGTCCGGGTGGGAGGGGCTGGTCGTGAAGCTTCCTGAGCTAACCTTTGCTTCTCATAATGCGCATAGATCAGCGGTGCAGATGCTTTCAAATCTGCTCCTGAAATCCACCGAGTGTCGTCGTGATCGCAGGCTTTGAATGTCACTTTGTACTGTCGTGGCTTGCTGCCGTACTTGCAATGGGTGATGACGCGGTCAACTTCCTGATGACCATCCATAGAAGGAGGGTCCTGCGATCGTCGGCCCGGAAAGTCGTCGCTCTTAGTTGGCGTGTATGTTGCCAGCTCTGAGGCGTGAAAGACTGGATGGACCGTCGGATGCGGGGGAATGTTGATCACAAATGAAGGGCCATCGGGTTCATTACCCGCGGCTGATGTTATAGGCCATGGTCCAAACCACTTGGGATGCAGTTTGCGTGAGACATCCTGTTCCAGTGCAAACTCTTCCGCGGAAACCCAAACCAGGTCGCCGGCGCGGATGGGACGTGGCACGCGATGCCTGTTGGCTTGCTGCTGCATGCGGACTTGAGCCTTTTGCATATTTGCGCGGGCTTGAGCCAGCAGTTCCCTGTACTTCCGGACGGAAGCAGGAGAGCAAGCGGCATCGATGTCGGCTGGTCGTGGGAGGAGAAGGTCGGTGAAGATATGGCCTTTCCGTCCACTGTGGTGCAACTCGAATGGAGTCACACCAATCGCCGGGTGGACCGAAGTGTTGTAGGCGAACTCGATGTCGGGGAGGCGGTCAACCCAATCTTTCTGGTTCAGACGGATGAGCGTACGAAGCATCATTTGAGCGGTTTGATGTGCCCGCTCCATCTGCCCGTCTGTCTGTGGATGCCAAGCCGAACTTGGCTTCATCTTCGTGCCGGACTCGTGCATGAGTGCAGTCCAAAATGCCGATATGAAGCAAGTGTCGCGGTCGTTGACTATGTCTTTCGGTACACCATGGCCGCAAATCCAGCCAGTGTGCAGGAGGCGTGCCAGCTCGGGAGCCGTGGAGTAGTACTTGCAAGGGAGAAAACGCGCGTACTTACTCAATCGGTCCACGACCGTGAGGATGCCGTTGTGTCCGAGGCGGTCGCCGGGGAATGGTCCGGTGACATCCATCGCAATGGAGAGACCGGGTTCCTGCGGGATCGGCATCAGGCGCAGCTCGCTGTAGGGGTTGCGGTTGCGGGGTTTGCTTCGTCGGCAAACTTCGCAAGAGTCGCAATACCTCGTGACATCAGTGATGAGGTCAGGCCATCAGAATTGCTGTCAAAGCTGTGCAATAGTGCGGTTGACTCCGAAATGGCCGGCGAGTCGCGAATCATGATACTCGCCAAGGAGGCGAGTTCGAAGACGGCGGTCGCGTGGGACACATAGTAAGTCCTTGCCCCGCGAGTGCAGGAGCAAGTACCCATCGACGATGCGATAGTGGCTGGCCGGTGGGTGATCCGAAGATAGCTGCGCATATAGCGTGGCGAGATCTGGATCGGACTTGTAGCCCCTGATAAAGTGTCGCTGAAACTCCTTGTCGAATGCGAAGGCATGATGTGTCATAGCCCAAAGATCAGGTCTTTGCGAGAGTGCCTCTGCTGCGCGATTTGAGAGGTCGGGAAGATGTTTCGGTGTGAAGTCAAATTGGTCATCCATCGTCTGATCGTGCTGCTCACCGTATCCTGCGTCTTGTAGTAGGTCAATGGATTGTTGTCCGTAACCCATGTAAACCTACGACGCCCAAGGAGGAAGTGCCACCATCGCTTGAGAGCCATGACGAATGCGAACAGCTCCTTCTTCCTTGCATCATCAAGCGAGTTGATGGGAGGCACTTTGTGGCTGAAATACTCCACAGGGTGTCAGTCGTCGCCGTCGTGCTGTTCCAAGACTGCCCCAATGCCATAGCCGGAAGCGTCCGTAGTCACTCTCGTTGGCAGGGTTGGGTCATAGATGCTAAGGAGGGGTGCCATGAGCATAGCCGTCTTAAGTGCTTGGAATGACCGGCGTGCGTCGTCATCGAATACGAATGGCACCTTTGGCGATTGTAATCTCGTCATAAGTGCAGCAATCCTTGAGTATCTGGTGATGAATTGCTGATAGTAGCCTGCCAATCCCATGAATGAACGAACGTCCGTGGTGTTGGTGGGTGGGCTCGGGCCATACTCGTAGGGCCTCGATCTTGTCCGCAAGCGGACGGATGCCTTGCGGCGTCACATAGTGTCCCAAGTACTCCAGCTCCTGCCGCGCGAATTCGCACTTGTCGCGGTTGGCTTTGTACTTGGCTTGTCGTAGCCGCTTCAAAAGGGTGCGCAGGTGTTCCACATGCTCCTCCAAACTCCGACTGTACACCAGGATGTCGTCGAGGTAGATAAGTACGTATCGATCCAGCATGTGTCGGAACTCCGTTGTCATAGCCGCTTGGAAAGTGGTCGGGGCATTCGTAAGGCCAAATGGCATAACCAACCATTCAAAATGCCCATATCGCGTCTTAAACGCGGTCTTGTAGCGATCCTCCTGCCGAATCTCGAGTTGGTGATATCCTGACTTGAGATCGAGCTTGGAGAAGAACTCGGCGCCGCCCACTCGCTCGAGAAGATCGTCGATGCGTGGGAGAGGGCCGACGTTTCTGATCGTCTGCCCGTTGAGCTTACGATAATCGATGCACAACCGCAAATCCTTGTTCTTCTTCCGGACGAAGAGAACAGGAGCACCGTATGGCGATGAGCTAGGCCGAATCCAGCCTTTCTCCAAAAGGTCGTCGAGTTGTGCCCGAAGCACACTTAACTCTTCCTCGCTCATTCGGTAGATGCAACCGCRCGGAGGTACGGCCCCGTCYTCGAGGATGATCTCGTGGCGGATGGGTCGATCCGGTACTACTCCGTGCRGGCCTTCGAACAYGYYGCTGTAGGCRTCGAGAAGCTCGGTGATGCGTGGATCCGAAGGTGAGTCCGTCGATGAAGCGTCATGGGGCGGGAGGGCGTGGAGAAAACACACCCCCATCTCCTCGATTTCCTCTCTGATGATGGAAGCTCGCATGCTTGCGGCGGATACCATGTGGCAGCTGATCGAAGGATGASGAAGAGGCACCGTGCATGGAACTAGTACTCCCTTCCGGTCACGAACGTGAACGGTGCGGTTGAAGAAGTTCACCGGGTGATCCTTCCTTCGCAGCCATGACATGCCCAAGATCATGTCGAATTTGGTGTCCAGAATGTCAAAGGACACCGCCTCACTTGCGTGAGGGGCAAAGTACACTGGGACCTTGTGATTGACTTGTGAGTGTGACCGTCCGCCAACGTGACTTGCGTAGGCTGGGACTTCGTTCGGACGCGTGGGCCAAGGCCTGCTCATACATGAAGCCCTGACTCATGTAGTTGCGAGATGCTCCGCAATCGATCAAAGCGCTGCAGGTCACCTCTCCGATCTGAATGCGTACATATAGCAATGGTGCGTCGATGTCGTCGTACCGTTGCGTCTTGAACTCGCGGTCGATTTTCGCAATATAGGCGTGAAGGTCGACAACCTCTACTCCAGTGTCCATCAACGGAGTTGGTACTGCAGTGTGCAAGTAATCCCGCAATGGTGCCTTGAGCACGTTGCAATGTGGTTTCGGCAATCGACCAGACCGGGGAAGGGGCATCCATTGGAAGTCCGCAAATGTCAACGGGTCGAGCTCTTCAAGTATTGACCATGACGTTGAATCCCTGGCGGTAGATGGCGGCGAAGCTGCCGAATCGGTTGCCAATGGTGATGAAACCGTGCATGCGGTAGATTGTTGCACGTGGAGCGGTTGGTCCAGCGGTGGGACCAAGTGGACAGCATAGTCCTCGTAAGCATATCGAGAACTTACGACGTTCTTGCTTACCTTACCCATGTCAGTGAAGTCGATGGAGACAGACTCCCCGGGACCATCAGGAATGGGTAGGGTTGTGAGTAGCCCCATGGGCTTTTGTCTGCAAGGTTTGATTCGTTGACAGACTTGACATTCAGCCACAAATTTCTCAGTAGTCCCTTTCATGCCAGGCCAATCAAACTGTCTCAGCAGGTTAGCGTACGTTCTTGCCATGCCGAAGTGCCCGCTCCGGCCATGAGCCAAGTCCAGAAAGTGTGTACGGAGAGGCTCATGGTTGGGCACACACAAACGGTTATGGTTCCCGTAACGACGAAAAATCAGTCCTCCATACTCGTGGAAATCAGGCTGACTACTAGGATCAGCCCGCAGCTGCTCAAGGATGGAGCTAAGCTCCGGATCCTTGGCTGTCTGCTCTACGAGCTCCTCCTTCAGTTTCTTCCGGAGGTCGTAGGATTTCACCAGGCAAGTCATGTACTCAGGGTAGCAAGACAGTGTGTGAGCGACTCGATTATAACAACCCCTTTTGTGTCTTAATTCAAAATCAAAAATATCAATCTCATGGAACCAGCGAAGCAAGGTAGGGGACAAAGTAGTCTGCTGTTTGATCCACTTCAAGGTCTCATGATCTGAGAAGACTTTGAAGTGGCGTCCCAAAAGGAAATGTTTCCAGTGATCCAACGCCATACGCAAGGCGTAGAGCTCGCGCATGTAGGTGGAAGTAGCTACCTTTACGCTGGGCATTCGTTTGCTGTAGTACTCGAGTGGTCGCAGGCCATCGCCGTCATCTTGTTGCAGCAGTGCACCGATTCGATACTGGCTTGCATCCGTAGTTATCTACGAAGGTCAGTTTGGGATCTGCAATGCGGAGTACCGGGTAACTACCCAAGGCTTCCTTGAGAGCTTGAAAAGCTTCCGTACACGCGGCATCCCAGGAATAAGACACATTTTTACTAGTTAGTCGCGACAACGGACGAGCAATGATAGAAAATCGGGGTACATACTTCCGATAGTACGACGCCAGACCAAGGAAAGAGCGCAATTCGCGAATGTTCGCAGGTTGAGGCCAATCACGTATGACCTCAATCTTGGTTGACTTAGGCTTTAGGCCTGCAACAGACAACCGGTGCCCAAGATAGATGACGCTATCCTTCCCAAACTCAGATTTTTCCAAGTTGAGATGGAGCTGCGTCGTCTTGAGGATAGCGAGCACCTCCTCAAGATGCTTGAGGTGTTCCTCCATAGACTTGCTGAAGATCAGAATGTCATCTAGGTACACTACCACAAACCGGCCAATCTGTTCGCGGAGGACCTTGTCCATGAGGCTTTGGAAAGTGGCTGGTGCATTCGTAAGACCGAAGGGCATTACGGTGAACTCATAAAGCCCGTCGCTTATCTTGAACGCAATCTTGTGCTGGTCCGCAGGATCGACTTCAATCTGGTGGTAGCCAGACTTGAGATCGATATTGGAGAAGACCTTGCACCCGCCTGCAACATCAAGTAAGTCGTCTATGCAAGAGGCAATGGATAAGCGTTTTTTCTCGTGATGCGGTTTAGACCGCGATAGTCAATACACATGCGGAGTTTGCCTCCTTTATTTGGCACGAACAACACAGGAGCACCAAATTCAGATTCACTTGGTTTGATCCACCCTTTGTCAATCATCTCATCGATCTGTCGCCGGAGTTCCTCCAACTCGCCGGGTCCCATACGGTACACGCAGCCCTTTGGAGGAACAACACCCTCGACCAACTCGATGGTGTGTCAAACCGGTCGCGTGGGGACTCCACGTGGCTCGGCCAAGACTTCCGGAAACCGATCGAGGAGGGTTTGGATGTCTGATGGGACAGGTGGGGGTGGGGAATCAGCAAAGGGGTCACCAAGGTCCGGTCGCAAGTCGCGTAGAGAGACGACCGAATCTGAAGTTGGATCATTTGGACTATTAGAGGATAGAGAGATAGAGGTGCTAGTAGTAGAAGTACCAGAAGCAGGATTATCAATCAAAGTAGTAGTGGTATTAGCCGCAAAAGTCGAAGGCACATGAGCAGGACGAACAAAGGCAACATACAACTGTTCTTCCTCTTTGTGGTTGCGCCACTTCTTGCAGAACTTCAATGCATTTAGAAAAGTCATTGGGGATTCGTGCTTCTCATCCAAGAGGATTGGAAGCTCGTTCCCCTGAGCATGTTTGACCATGAAGAGTGATTCCTTCCACTTGGTCCATTCGCATTGGGACTGCAGCCAGCCCAAGCCAAGGAACGTCGAAGGGGCACTTGTCAAGGACAAAGAAGTTCAGTGCATGGGTGACAGTCTTACCTTTGTCAAAGGTAGTGCGCACACCTTTGACTGCATGTGTAGAAGAGACAACTTCCTTGTTGCCAACTTGGGTCCGACAAGGGTTCTGCAGGGCTACTTGCTTCATCCCCAAGCCCACCTTGCGTATCCCATGTGGTGACATGAAATTAGCTGTAGCACCACAGGCAACCAACACATGGAGATAGCGGTGGTTGATGAGAAGTTTAAAGAAGATCAACTTCACTGTCCCTTGGGCACGCTGCTGTTTCATCTCAGCCCAATGCTCCAAGTGGTAGTGGAAGTCAACCATCTCAGACTCCTCCCAAGGCTCAACAGACAAGACATTACTTACCTCAGCCTTGTTTTCAGCAAATGGTTGGGCTTCAGGGGAGGGCTGCTGATTTTCAACAGAACCGGACTCCCCTGCTGTAGAGTTTGCTGAATCCGACTGTACGCCCGATTCTGGTTTCCCTGCAGCCTATAACAGTCTTGAACTTTATTATTTGGCTTTTGGCAATGCAGGCAAACCCCTTTCTTGAGTCTGCCCCGCCAGTCATTCTCAGTGACCCGGAGGTCAACCCAAGGTTTGGTAGTTGCATCCTCCGGTTTAGGCGGGATCTTAACTCCTTTGGGAAGTTGGACATAACTTTTGCCGGCACTCCGATTCGGTCCCTTAGTACTGGTAGTCTTTTTAACAGCAGAAAATTTTTCTTCTTCTTTATTTGCGTCGGACTCATGGGCTGAAGAACAAGTTGTATCGGAGTCCTGTTCTTGGTCGTCACCAAGAGTGGGGTCACCCGCATCGGCTTCTTCTTCGGCCTCCAGCAGGTCATGCACAGCAAGTCGGTTGCTGCCCTTGAACCGTCTGCCGCCCATGGGTTTTTTGCTGCCTGCCGTGCTAACGAGGTCCGTAGCCTCCAGACTGACTACGTCCTTGATTAAGGCGAGCCAATCAGTGTATGCAATGTAGTCCCTGCCCAGGCGACTAGTGAAGTTAGTTGGAACCGCGCCCTTAACCATATCCAAGCAAGATTGAGTGGACAATTCCAAACCAGGAGTGGCAAACAACTTGCTTAGATAGTTCTGCAGGCTTTTCATGGAGCCATTCCACTTGCTGTGCTTTACTTTGTCTAGTTGAATTCTCGCTTTAGCAGCAACATGTGGATCTTGGTATTTCGAGATAAAGAGCTCTTCGAGGGAGGCAACCGGGGTGATCCTTAGCCATTTGGCTAGTGCAGCCTTTGGAAACCCGACCCATGTTGCTTGGACTTCTAGGAAGCCCCGTACGACTGGCTCGACATTCATTCCCATGATCACCGCCTAGTTCCCAGGTTGAGTTCCCAGGATCTCAAAGTAGGCCCTCATGGAGCCGATCCAGGACTCGATGTCATCCTTGTTGTCGTACTTGGACGGCATTTGCACCGCCTTCCGGTCCACGTAGGGACTGGCGTAGCTGGGACCAGCAACAACTGGTTCCGGTCTTGGGGCTGCAGCAGTTGCAGAAGTTCCAGCCTCATTGCTTGTTACATTAACAGTGGAATCTGCACCTGCTGCAGGTCCCAAAGGGGTTGCCATCACACTCGAAGAAGAGGTAGAAGAAGATACAGTAAGAGGGGCAGAGGTGGTTTCGATTGCAGCTTCAGATCCAGGGGGTAGAGGAAGAGGGTTGGCCACCTGGGCTTGTCGCAGGTCAGCCACCTCCTTTGTCAAGTCATGGTACTTGCGGGTCATATCAGTCAGATCATCCTGAAGAGTCTGCAGCTTTGCAAAGACTTCAGTGGTCTGAGTGGTATGGTCGTCAAGAATCCGGACTTGAACAAAGGTTGTAAGTATGGACTGCAACTGTTCCCCGCACTGCTGTTCAGTCAGTGAGGGAACAGTCTCTAGGAGAGCTACTTGCCTTCTCAGCAAGGTCTCCTTCCTCTCCTTCTCTGACTCCTGTTCCCGTTTTATTGCACCATCTAAGAGTGCTTGCAGATGAGGTTTCTCAGCATCACTGGCTGCATCTAACAAGGCCAGCCATTGCGTTGAAGGAAGCTGGGCCATTTTCAGATTGTCAGTATGGACAGGTGGGTCAGAGAGTCGCCAGTCAGCAAAAGAATCAATCAGACTCTCAAGAGGTTCACTCCCCTTCCCGCTTAGACGAACACTCCTTTTCCCAGTCCTTGCCCACTTCAGACAATCACTTCCCCTCTCTCCCTGTTCTCTCTCCCTCCTCTCTCTTTCTTCTTTCAGATTGCAAGTCTCCACGGGCATCGGAAATGAACTCAGAAAAACAGATAAAGCTCAGAGAAGAGAAGGTAGAACTCCTAGCCGGAGCGGCATTTCATTTGGAAGTAGAGAACAGCAAAAGAAACAGTCAAACTCAAAGAGAGGTTTGATCCAGCGACCCAGTCTGATAAGACTGCATACGAGGTCCTCTCGAGTCCAGTCTGACCAGCTCCGTGTCTGTACAGCAAATCAGACAACGAGTAACTAAATGCAACAATGGAGAATTGAGTGGTGTACAGGGTGCGAGTCAAGCCACTGATGGTGCAATCAGAATACAAGCGAAACGTCAAAGCCAAGATCCCCTCGGCAGTGGGTGTCCTAATCCAAGAAGAATGAACTCATATCCCAACCAAGAAGACAAGAGGTCAATGCCTAACCGATTTGGGTCCAGAGGCTCTCCTTGTTTGGGCCCGGTCCCGTTGGGTCCCAAGGGTTCCGCTTGGTCCCAAGGGTCCCACGTAGGTCTCAACCAGGTCCCAACCAAGAGGAGTCCCACCTGAACTTAGTTCAGTCTCTACTGCACTGAAAAACGAAATTTCAACTTCTGGCAGAACCTACAGACTACAATCGTTCAGTGATGAAAAGACAAAGCACTGTAGAAAGACTCGACATGTATAACAAGATACTTCATTTTCCATCCATCAAGTGAGTAGGTAGATCACATGCATTCAGTCACACAATCAAGACCACAGAGGAGTAGGAAAAGAAACCCAGAGTACCCCAGCAGGACAATCAATACCATACACACATACATGGGCATCCCGTAGGTGCACGACACTTACCTAAGTGGCCTTGAGCTTCGAGATGAAGAGAACTCACCCCCCTTCTCATATGGTCCTCCTTACCCATCTAACGCTACCCCTACACTAGTGTCCTATCTCCTAGGAGGGTCTGACTCCAACACCCAAGTGCAACGCCGGATCCCCCGTTGATGCTGAAGAACAAAGTAGCAACTTGCAGTCCGTTGATGCAGAATGGCCGCTGACCCTCAAGCTCGCCTACTTGAGGGCAGCCCTTAAGTTGCCAAGTGTCTCCCTTGAATCGGATTCCAGGTGCGAGTGCCTCTCATTGTCGCCTCTCTCAAATCGCCGCATGAAGTCTCCTCAAAATGTCTCGCCACCCCAGTCTCACTCTCAAGCAACCTGGTTAGGTTCTATGTTGACCCCACATGACCTAACAAGGTGGGGGCAGCTTCCCTTAGCCACGCTGCCCCACTTCCCTCAACCATCCAACCCTAACCCTAAGTGTTGCCCTCAACCACTTAGGTTAGGATTAGGGCAGCAAAGTCAACTCTCACCAGCAAGTAGAATCCGCTCCGATACCAATGTTATGACCCTGGTCAATTGCGAGATACACATCCAGTGAAAAGTACAATGCCATCCAATTGCAGAATGAAATGAATGAACTTGAGAGGAGAGAGAGGAATAGAAGAAGAAGAAGAAGTAAGAAAGAAGAAGAAGAAGATGTACACCAGCAAAGATAATGACAAGACTCTTCTTCTTCGCCTAACAATATCCTCCTCCTTATCTCCCCCTTCTCTTATTCACACAAGAAATAATAATACAATGTTGAACGACTGGTCCAGAATCATGTCCGAGTCCCTTTTCTACTGCAGGTATCACTCATGGTCCACCATAGCCATGGCCGCCTCTCCCACTCTTCACACACATAGGCCGAGGCTATGGCAGACTACTAGGCCTTGCTCCGACGTCCAAAGGACAACCCAAAGCAGCTATAGCTGCTCCAGCTCAGGCCGCCATGCCCAGCCCTGCCTCGAAGCTTCTTGGTGTAGCTCCCCCCGGCCGGGGACTCCTTGCTGCAGCGCCCACCAAGGTGATGAAGATGGCTGCCACCATAGCCAGGTAAGTACCCCTGGCGCTCCTCTCCCTTCCTCCTTCCTTCCTCCTTCTTCCTCCCTCTAGTCCTTCTCTTCCTCCCCAACAGCGGAACTCCAGCCCAGCGTTGCTCCCTCCAGCGCTCCACCAGTGTGTCGCCAAACTTGCACACCGAAAAAGAGGCCGGGTCTTTTGCCCGGCCTGAAGATATAGCGGCCTGCTTTGCCTTTTGGGCGGTGACTTCCAGATCGCTGGCCTTCCCAAGCAACCGGTACCTCCTCCTGTTTTGGAGGGAACATCATTGCAGACTCTGATATTGCCCCTACAGGCCCTAGACTCAGACTGGTACCCGCTAGACCTAACCTACACTACCGACCTCTAAAAATGCCACTTTTGTCTTCTTCTGCTCGGCCTCCGGTACCGGCCTACCCGCTGCTTGAGTGCTTTTTCCCCGCTGCAATCCTTCGAAGCCAAGGCCACAGGTAAGTACCAGCCCTGAGGGCCCAACCAACGAACAAGTGCCCTGGCGGGCCACACACACACACACTCATACCAACCAGCACTCAAACAGGCATGGTCACACACGCAAGCCAACCAGCACTCAGACAGACATGCAGTCCCGCAAGCACACACACACAGACTTAGCAGGCGGGGAACTCTGTAGGGCATTCAGTCTATGAGCAAAACTCAGAAATCAGTTGTGTGTTTCAGTCCGTGTTTGGACGGGTTATCACAGTAGAGAGAATTTTCTTTCCCGCCCTGTGACCATGATTTTACCCCTCGTTGGTAATATGGGGGAGGTGTTACATGCACATACGGTATACACGCACACAGCAGGAAGAAAGTAGGAAAGGAAAACGTACCTGGCTGCGTATCTTCTTATGTCTTGGCGGAAGATTCAGTCATGTTTCGTACATTGACTTGAGAAGGGCAACACATCTTAGGCTGGAGGCAGAACTGGCGATGCGGGATGGACTGAACAGTCAACTACGGGCGGCATTTGAGAGAGGGAGAGCGAGTGAGCGGGCTGTTTGCAACCAATCAAGTGAGCGGATGGGGCGGGCTGTGTTGGATTAAGTGGTATGCTAGAACTTTGCTGATGGGCTGCAACATGCGGACATTGTTGTTTTATCTATAGAGAACTGTTGTTGCTGAGTGTTCAGGTGGTGTTATTGCTATCCTCAACAATGGGGAACTGCTAAGTGCTGATTGCAGGGCACTGCACTGCTAGCTCCACGACTTAGGCCTTTGCTATAGCTAGGGGACTGTCGTGTACAATGTCGAGTTCCTGTCGGTATATATCTAAGGGGTTTACTAATACTGTTTCGAGCTACAACAGGTTGCTACTGTCGTATGATCAAGGGGTGATTGTTGTTACTTTCAGCGTCAACATACTGCTACTATGTTGTTACTGCTGGTTGTTGCCATATCGTGCTTGCTGCTGTGCACACTCCACTTTGTTGTGCACGGTCGCTAAGTGCACCGTGTTTCTGTTGACATTCTGCTAACACTCTGCCTGCACTTCGAGTAAGAGCACAGGGGGCGTGCTCTATTTGAATGCAGCCTTTCTAGGCTGCATAACGACAATTTGGTCAGGAGGAATGACCCCGCGGGTTGAGGGAGTGGGCCGACATAGCAGAAGGGTCACTGCTAAGAGACATTTGGGCGGAGTTAGTCTACGTTTTGGCCGTGGTTCGGCCATCTTCTTGCAATTGGCTATGGTTCGGCCATCCTTCCTGCGTCCTGGCCACCATTGCGGGGCCCTTTGGCGCATCCAAATTCCAAGGTCCTGTCACTGTGAGTTGAGTTGTCCCTCTCTTGGATCTCGAGAGTCTGACTTATCTTTTTCTATCCTTGTTACTCTAAGCTTAGTCTGAGGTTACGAGAGGAAGGCGGCAGGCGGAATTGCAACCCGTAGGACCGCAGCAAGGCCTCTGTGGGGGGTTTTACCCACGGATTGCGGGAGCTCTGCCGGAACCTAGGCGGGGTTATGGAGGCAGGGAACTTTAGGTATAACTTTCGTCTGACGCGTGTGATCCTTTCCCCTAACTGTAATTCCTTTGGGTATCTAAATATAACTATGAAAGGCTATTACTCTTTCTTTTTGTTATGAATGTCAGGACATGCTTTTGAAAAATTTTAATTAACAAGTATATATGAGAGGTCAGATAATCCTTGAGTGAATTCAGACAAAGGAATGGGGGGAAGGTGGGAGAAAGGTGTCCTGCATGCGTTTGACTGGGTCAACCCGAGGCTGAGTTCCTCTAAGTTGATGTGGGTTCAGTGCTATGTTTATTTATGTTTGCTGGGCTGAATGTATGACCTTTTTAGGAGTGGGCCTATCCTAAGTTGGACGAACCAGTCACTGTTTCTTTGCTGGGGTTTCTGAACAGGAGGACGGACACCCTAAGTTGGGAAGGCTCAGAATCCTGATGTTGCTTTTGAGGTTGCTGAAAACAGAGCTGGGGATATTCTAAGTTGCGTAGACCCAGTTCTGTGTGTGTTTTCTTCTGAGGGGGACAAAGGCATAAGACTAAGCGTACCTCTAAGTTGGGGCGGCTTAGTCATGAGCTATGAACTTAATGGTCAATCAAAGTATAGAATTTGATACCTATATTATATGAACTTATATTATATGGCAGACCGGGCACCCTAAGTTGGGAAAGCTAGTCAGTAAGTCAGGTAGAACAAAAAGAGAAGAGAAGCAAGTGAAAAATGTAATGAAGGTAACTCGGGCAGGCTGAGCGTACCCTTAAGTTAGGGTGGTTCAATCATACGCTCGTGATAATATAAAGGAGCAGAGAGTTAGTATAAATCTTCTTTTATTTTCCCTTTTAAACACAAGGCAGGATTGGATGTCTCCCTAAGTTGGGTAGGTCTGATTATCTGCCTAACAAGAGAGAAAAATATAAAGTTTGTGCAACTATATCAATGGTTGTTCTCTTATATTATCGTTGCGGAGGCTAAGCGTACCCTTAAGTTAGGGCGGCTTAGCCATACGTCGTTTGTGATTGTTCCGGCA